CTTTGACATCCGGAGTCCACAAAAGCCTTGATTTGATGTCCATTGATTTCAATGTTAATGTATAACATTACTACCTGGATATAAATTTAATAAAAATTGAATGGATTTCACTAAGCGTAGATAATACGCTCGAATGACTAGATAAAATAAATGATCACTTACTCGAGCGAAGAACTGAGGAATTTTCTCATAGGCAGTTCGCCAATTTTCTTCAATATTTTTCATTCTTATTTCTTCCTCAATCCTTCGTTGATTTTCAATATCTAGTGGATCATTGGGGATATTCTAAAAAGATTTTGAAATGTTTAATATAACATGAATCATTATCGTTGCCTAATCAGTCCTTCTAGTGAAGCCTTACAACCTGTTGACTATGCTGGTTCATTTGACGAACCAATGCGGCCTGTTGACTACGCTGGTTCATTTGACGGACTAATGAGGCAAATTGTGCTGAACCAGTAAATGCGGCATCAAATAATTCAGGCTGAGTCTGCAAATAAAAATAATTCCTTTAATTATTGTAATATGTGATTAGTTACTTACAATAACAGACCTACCTGAAGCAATTGTTCCGAAACTTGAGGCTGATTCAATATCTGCTGCCGCATTAGTTCTATTTCTGCTCCGCTAAATTATGTCAATAAGTTTATTAGGTAAATAGCTGGCTTACTCGAGCTGGAAAAATAATCTAGATATGAAACTCGATTTACTCTCTAGGTATGGCTTGAGGATTTTTTCTAAGCGACAATATGTCATTCTCAAGAACACCATATTGTTCAAGAGTTTTTTTTGGATCTGTTAGTTCTTGACCATGATAAGAAAGAATTTGATCAGCGGGTGGTATCCCTGTCTAAGGTAATATGAAAATAAGTATTAAAAACCACTATTATTAGAATTATTATCAGAACAATATGAATGCTCGAACCTCGTCTCCAATCAAAGCCTTAAGATTTTCCAATTCGAACTGAGAGTCCACTTCTATACTATGGACTTCGCCCTCTGGGG